CCTAAGATCGACTGTCTCTGCCATGCTCGTAGAAAAGGACACCCCGGGCCGCGGTGCGCGGAAGCCTACCGATTATTCCGATCTTCTGCAGACAAATCACAGTGACGCGTTCGCGTTCTCGGAAACGGAAAAGCGCGCGCTTGAGCTCTATGACCAGCTGCGAGAGCTGGAGATGCAGCGAAGCCTTCTTGAGGCACAGACAGAAGGTACGTTTAGCGCGCAACGGCAGCTATTCAAGCAGAGTTGACATGTCTGCAGCGCATGTGCCCGATGTCTCGGCATTATCAGATGATGTCTTACTCGAGCAGCTGATCACAGCACAGCGCGAGGCCATGGAGGCCAAGGCAGAATATGAGCTCAGAAGGCGAATCGCCCATAATGTCCTGGTGATGGATCCTGTCCTGAAGGCTGTCCATGGTAGTGAGCATACAGACTTCGCCGAAAAGTAAGTTCCAATGACGCATGTTTCGAGACAACCTCTCACGTGTTGTAGACGTATACTGCCGTTGATCACCGAGAACGACACACTCAGTATGGTTCATGGCTCGTTGGCTGCGAAGCTTGTCTCTACCGCAACATCTTTGAGTGTAGCTGAACAGGGAAACATGACTATCAGTCGAAACAATAAGGAACTCTCTCAAACGCTGCTCGCTCTGGCAGAAGATATGAAGTCCCTATCGACGGAGGATATCGAAAACCCACGGCTCCGTTCCCAAGTAACAGAAGTGGAGAGGGAAGTCAAGGAGTCGCGACGGAAGAAGCAGACCCTAAAAGGCACTCTTTCTGCAATGATTGTTGGCAGTGGTGTCCACTGGGCTGAGGACGAAGTTCTGAAAGAGCTGGTCATGGATGATGATGAAGAGGGTTAAGTATTGGGCTCAGATGTCGAGGAACTAATCATGGCGGAATAAAACTTGTCGGTACTCGCACAGGCTTACCTGTCGTCAAGTGTGCAGCACAGGTCGGCGTTTCGATCAGGTTGCTCTTGTGCAACATTTCCGGCCACTACTCTGTCAGTCTGCACTGCTTCATACTAGCAGAGCCGGATGCAGCAAGACTGCGATTCGCCTTCTAGTCGCCTTTGGCTCGTGTGCCCGGGCGTCTGAATTCCAGAGAGGTCGCTGACTCTTGCCATAGCATCCAACAGAAAAAGACAGCAGTAATGCCTAACATATTGATCACGTAGGCGGCATTAAGATATGATATTACATTGTTCGCGCAATTAGAGCTCAGAGCGTAACATCTTGCTGGAACAATGCAAGTTATCTCGGGGGAGACACGGTAAGGCGTAGGATGTTGGACAGGTGCCCCTACCGAGGGCACTATGTTCAGTCCTTGCTCACGCGCATGGTGAAACGGAACGAGAATCGATGGTTCGCCAGTAACGAACACAAGGCAAGGCAGTGGACAAGACATAAAGCAGTGTAAGTGTTAGTAGGAGTATGGCTCCGAGCGTATCATTGCTTCACTTTTGATGGAAAGCTCCACAAGTGCACTTGTTCAGTGTCAGGGCGGCAGATGCGGGAGGGGTGGCCCCTGTGCCTCTTCGTTGCACACTGAACATATGCGATGAACAAAGTATCAGGTAGTTCGAGAGAGTGATTCTATAATGGATATATGGCATGAACATGAAGTCGACTGTCTTGGAACCGACACGGACGATGCAATGTGGGTTTTTTTGGTGTCCGGGGCGATGGACCCTGACCGATTAATAAGCCGGCCCTTCAAGGCTGCCAGTTCCTCTGATGCAAGTCGCAACGTACCTTTGTAACGCTGGTTACCTTCCAGATGCCACGAGGAGCAGGCAGACAGCTTGTTCGGTGCAAGGCCCGTCGAAGGCATCCAGTCGTATCGAGTATCGGGACTCGGGGTTCAAAATGAAGCGCCTAGGTGCCTGCTCTGCGCTGGGGCGCTACACGGAAGCTGCGCCCATTGCCCATTGCAACTTCCGCATTCTGCAGCCCTTGCAGCACCAAAGTTGAAGAGATGTTCCAGGCTGGAGCTGCAGTATTGAAGTTCGAGCCACTGCAACGCGCGCACCCCGTTACCATCGATGCGCTGCGTCAAACCTGTGTTGATACTCTCCTGGATGCGGCTAGGCTGTGGACCGAATTCCCACGGTACACCTCCCCTCTGGGCCTCTGACGGAGTCGTGTCAGCGTGACGCAAACGGTAGGTTGGGTAGTCTAATAAAGCAGCCACACTTTGGCGACGGGAGGAGGAGTGAAGAGGCTGTTGCTTCACGTATCTCCCATTCCAACCACGAATCCACAGCATTGTTGGGTTTCCCTATCTTCGGCTGCTTTGCCATGGACCCTAAGAGTGTCGAATATGTGCATCACACCAGTCCGCTAGTTTCGTACACAAAACCAATGTGTGTTGTTGTCGTTCACGCACGCGGCTATCGTAGAGTAACGTGTGTTCCAAGGTTGATGCTGTACCAGTACGTGCGCGGGTACGTGTGGTGCGTAGAAAAGCGGTATGATTAATGATTAATACTTGGACCTGTTGATACGCGATTGCGTCCCCACGAACCTCGCGGCAGCCCCGCCTGTGGATTTGGAGGACTGGGGCTGTTTGTCTGCCGACGGCGTGGAGCTCGCGATCACTGTCGGTACGCATGGAGCTGCACCGCAGGCGGCGGCGGAACCGGGCACATTGCGCGTTGCCTTGCCGGCCGTCTCCCCTCAGGGCTCATCAGCCAGCCGCGCCGAAGAATCCAGTCGAGCGATGACCAGCTCCAGCGCGCATTTCGCGCAGAGCGAATGGAAGCGCTGGACGGACCGGCTGTAATAACGGGCCACATGAAACCAGCCGCCAGGAATGCGTGTTGCTGTAGGGGGGCAACCCTCGAACCTTGGAACGGGCGCGGGCGTCAGGATGGAGCAGCGAGCCGCGAGTGACGTGCGGGCGCTGGCTGCCGCAGTGAGGCCGCTGGGCGCGCGACGAGGATGAGGGCGAGGGCGAGGGCGCGGGGTGAGGGCGCGGGCGCGGATGCAAGCAGCACCGCACGCCAGCGACACAGAACAGGGCGGCGGCAGCGACGGGGCGGCAGCGTCGAGGTTCACAGTGCACACTGCACACCTGGGCAGGCGCGATTTGTTGACCGTCACGTGACGCGCTCGGCTCCAGGCGCTCCTGTGGACCGTAAACAGCGGCGGTGCATGGGCTCGGCCTGGCGCCTGCCTTTTGTTGCCCGCCCGCCGCCCGCTTCTCTCTCTCCCAGCGCAGTCCTCTCCTCACCACTTTTTCGCTGCAGAACCGCCTGCCCATACAAACTTCGCCCTCCAGCAACTTTGGTGAGTCTTCGCTTCGCTCAGCGCATCGCTGCTCGCGCCCTGCACCGTCCCCACCACGTCCACCTTTTCAAAGCGCGTTTTTCTGCCCAATTCACGCGATACCTGTCTCGCCGTGCTCGTCTGCTTCATCTAGCCAGCCGCTTTTGTTCTTGTTCTTCGTCGTCGCGCATGCTCCCATCGAGCGCCTATTGACCGCACATAGCCCTCCAGCAAAGGCGCAACTCATTTCCACTACATCAGCAGCCTGTAAGTACCGTCTATCTCTCTCGTGCCAGAGCGGCATCTCAACCACGCGTTGCGGTGTTTTGCGACCGGCGGCCGCCTCGAGCCCATAGCGAGGCCGCTGCACCGCATGACCCTCACGTACTCCCACCGCCTGTCAACGGCAACTGTTAACGGTTACACCGTTTCTCACTTACCGCTACTTGATTGTTTCTTTTCAAGGCGCTCGCCTTTTAGGCATCCACGTCACTTCTTACCACCCACTTACTGACCAACCCTCGCAGGCACTTGTAGCTACAATCAACATGCCCAAAGAAAAGTCTACCCGCAGCGGCAAGGGCAAGGCCACTAAGACTGAGAAGAAGAAGAAGGGTATGTTATTACGTGGCTGCCTGCTCTCATTCCGTGCCTAACAATATAGACCCTAACGCGCCCAAGCGTGGTCTGTCCGCGTACATGTTCTTCGCCAATGAACAGCGTGATAAGGTCCGCGAAGACAACCCCGGCATCAAATTCGGTAAGTTGCCCAAAGCACAATGTCGTCATGGTCTAACAGTCTACAGGCGAGGTCGGCAAGATGCTCGGTGAGAAATGGAAGGCTCTCTCTGAGAAGCAGCGAGCACCTTACGATTCCAAGGCTGCCGCTGACAAGAAGCGGTACGAGCAGGATAAGATTGATTATGCCGTAAGTATCCTGTGGAATTTCGTGCCTGGGCCCATACTGACCAATTCCAGAACAATGCTGAGGAGGAGGAAGAGGAGTCCGAGTAATCGACGTTCACGTGCAGATTCACTTTCACATCGGCTTTCATCTTTCTCGCTCGGGACTCATCTCCTGACACATCGACAATGCTCTTCTATCTCGGTCAGCGGTTGTGGTGTCGCAGATTTGGGAGCAGTTTCCTTTGTTTCAAGTCTCTACGATTCTATGGTAAAGGGTCGTCAAGAGGCTATCATTATGTAGTGTCATCCTAGAGGGTGAAGAAAGCCCAACCAAGTCGACTATGAGTCACCGAATGATGTTTGGCTTCCCAGACCATCACGAGACTTATGACCCTTGTACACTATCAAATGGTATGGATTGTTGAGCTCCTGATCCCGGTTCTATAACTGAAGCTGCTTGTTCTCTCCATGTTGCTCTGTAACCTCTACTATGAGCGTAGAATTAACGTGACCCCTGGTACTTGAAATCCCACGGATGTTGCACATGAGTTTACGGATCCATGTTATCTTGCACCTGCACTTAAACAATGCTCCAAAATGCTTGATTCGCGCCTGCCTTCACCGCCGCGGGAGCCCGCATCTCCAGATGCATCCTCCCGAATCCATCTCCACCCTCCCAAGTCACACCAGCCTCTTCAAACCCTGGAACGCTACTCACCGCTCCTGCTCGTCTAGGCTTTTTTACAATCACAACGCAGTGTATATATACTGCATAATTAGGGATTTTCAACATCTAGTACAAGCAGTGACCTTGAAGCGTCGGTAGTCCAGTGGTTAGGATACTGCCTTCCCAGCACCAAGCCAGCGTGTTGAAGGCAGGGGTCGTGGGTTCAATCCCCACTCGACGCATAGTGTTACATTTCTTTTTGCGGGGGGGCTGGGGGTGTGATGGGAAGTTAGTGAGCGGGGTGGGGTTGTTTTTTTGCTGGGCGTGGTTGATGGGTGGATGATATGGATTGGAATGTGAGGCACAGTTTAGCGAGTCACTTTTTTGGGGCAGTCGCGTTTGCTAGTCTATGATGTCTGAACGAGGGGTATGCGCTGGTGAAGAGGGCGGCGAGCTTGTCTAGTAAAATACGTGGGACGCGCGGCGTGGGAGTGAAAGGATTAGATAGACTAGGGGTGGTAGTCTGAAGGTTCTGTGGATAGAGTCGATGTTGCATCTCGAGTAGGTCTCTTGGATATCACAGTATTCTATAACCCAAACGCCATGCTATCCATGTCTGAGCCCATGAGCAACTGCTGGGACAGCAGACCTTGCGTACCACGGACAAGACAATACATACCCGACCAAGCCTCAACGCGTCGATGCTAATAGACTGCACAATCACACGGTGCTATCACAAGCAGATCATCATTTCGATTGAATATTCAACGAGATCCACCTCCATTCGCGCATCACTATTCTCTCTGCAGCACGACCATCAGCCCCATCATCCCCAGCATCACCTGTTTCAGCCACGGGTACTCGCTCAGCAGGATTGTGACGTATCCTACGAAGGGGATGTAGCCGACTACGCTGCCTACGACGTCCTCTTTGCGGTTTAGAAACGGTTGGCCGACGGCGTAAAGCTCCGTGTCGTCGGCGTTGTTGTTGTCGCCTTTGGTGAGGAGGCGGAGGGGCGATTTGCTATAAAGGTGTCAGAGTCTCTGTTCATGAAAGACGTGTAGCTGGTGTGAGGAGCTCTGTAGGCGCATTGCGAAATCCTCAGGAGGACAGTCGGCGTGGAGTTCCGCCGCCCAACTTCTCTCCTCTCCTTTTCTCCATCTTTGTTATGTGGCATCCTGCCAACACGCAGGTGCGAAAGACCCTGAATCATCCCAGGTCCAATTCAAGAGAAATAGCACTTACCCTCCTCCAAATCTCCGTATTACCCGATGCACGATCGGGATATCTTTCCCCTTAACGTTGTACACCACAATCTCTCCAATCTGTGTATCCGACCCCCGATTCCACAAGAGCAGCAGGTCTCCCCTCTGAAACGCGGGCTCCATGGACCCAGACAGCACAACGACGATCGGGGAAGGTGAATCGGTGGCGACGGAGAGTCCTTTCCAGAGCATAAAGGCGGTGGAGAGGACGAGCGCGAAGTTGAGGACTTGGGTGGCTAGTTGCCGCGGCTGCATGTTCGTGAGGCCGAGCATGGTGCTGGATCGTGGGTGGGAGAAGGCGGAGGCTGCAGTGGAGTCGGAGCTCGAGCGCGAGATTCGGTAGCTTTCTGCGAGATTGCCGTCTGTCTGGAAACTTCACGCCGGGAAAGGTCGAGGTGCGCAAGCGGATGTCGTGGTTTGGAGTTGATGCCAGATGTTCTGGAAATCGGTGATTGGCTGCGGCGGGTAGCCTGATGACTAAGTTCAGCCCTACGGGATCCGAAGTTGCTTCGAACTTCCACTCATCACCTCCATCCCGCCTGGACTCTCCTACGTAGAGTAGACTACAGTTAGAACGTGTAATTGCTTCAGTAACATGCAAAAGAAATTCACTACACACTTGGACTCAAGAACTGCTCTGCGCCCTCATGGGCGTCCTGTAGGTCGCCTTCACCTAATCTTCTTCCTCTTCTAGTATCTGTTGTTCTACGATCATGCTACTCCCTTCATGTAGCAATGTACTCACTATACACTCAATCTTTCAGTTGCATGGACCAATTCATCCTAGTCCTCTATTTAACAAGTCTTTCTCTGCCAAATTTGATGAATATTGGCGCTCCATTCCTCTTAAAGTGAAAGAGAAGTCGTTCGCGCCTTATCTTTTCACCTTACCAACCCTCACCTCGCAGATAATTATAGCTCTTTCTAGCTACTTCGCTCATCACTCTGGGTTCTCCCTCCAGTCCAGCGATCTACACTCTCTTCCTTTGACCTGTCATCATCTCTTCGGTCCGCGGTAAAGCAACGCCGAAGTCAGGAATCGACCTTGTCCACATGCTATCAGTCGTCTTACTCAATCTCTGACCCGATTTTTATCGAAAACGTCTACCTGGATTTTCTTACATCGTTGGCAAGCTACTACTAGCTTGGCGCGTCAACCGCGGCAGTCATGGCACATCTTAGTCCAGGAACATTCGTTATGTACGCAGATACCGGCTCACTAATCCCTCCATGGCCGGCAATTGTCTGCACAGATGACATGGCTCCCAAAGCGATGCAGCAGAAACGTCCACTTGGATACTACACGCTGATACTACTGATGGGAGAGAATCAAGAGTTGTAAGTTTGATACCAAGAGCTTTCGAAGTAGCAAGCTGATGATACTAGTCGATGGGCACTGACTGGGGAGATGCGAGAGTACGATCCTTTCTATAACGCAGCGCGTATCGATCAAACACCCGGTCTGAGTCAAGCATACGACGCTGTCGATTTCGCACTTGATGCGAAGTTAACCCTGGATTTTTGGAAGACGGAAACCGTAGACCAACGGGTCGGCGATACTACGGTTTCAGCGCAAGATGCATCTTTGGCGTCAAGCTCAAGTTCCGACTCTGACGATGATTTGGAGTATCAGAAGAGTTTACAAGAAGCAATAGACGCTAGTCTCGCGGATGCAGGAAAGAAACGCGCTCCCAGCGTAGAGTCCGACTCTCCGACGATAGTAGTGGCAAAGAGATCGCGCAACAGTGCCCCGCAAGCAACTTCAAGCGACATCAGGGACCACTTTCAAAGCCAACCATCACTACACTGGCACCTGCCAACCCCATCAATCTCAAATCCTGAAAATGGCTCAAGCTCAACTATGCCCAGGCCGTTTCCACAATCCCCTCTATCTTCAAGTAAAGGCAAGGAACGCCAGAGTTCTCCAAACGTGGGCGGCACTCTTTTCAGGGACAGCCAATCGAGGCCTAACAATGTTGGAGACGCATTCGCTGGCCCTTCGCAAAAACTGGAATCTTCACAGAAGCGACCCGCTTCCAAGGAGGCCAACGTCGAGGAAGAACTGTGCGTCCTACCAACTTTAAACACACAGAAACATCTACTAACACCTTTTACAGAGACGAGAACGGAGCGTTCGTCGAATTCGTCATCGGTCCTAACAAGCAGTCCTATTTCCTCCCCAGACAATCCATCACAAATCGGATGTACTTTGCCGACCCGAAATACAAGTTCATAGTCCCCAAAGGCGACAAAGGATGGATTTTCCAGCGCCCAAGTCTCCGCGACATCGATCCCGAAGACTTCGACCTCGCCGCCGAGTATCTGGAAAGCGAGGATTTCGGCCATCGTCAGATCGCTGACGAAGACCAGCGAGCCGAAAGCTTCGCGCAGTGTAGCGCGGCGTGGGCCGTCGCCGAGGAACTAGGTATGGAGGATCTGCTCCAACACATCGCCGTGAAGATCCAGAAGACGAAGCCCTGGGGACTGGAGGAGGTGTGGTCGCTCGCTGGGCTGGTGTACAAGATGGACGGAACGCCTCTGCCGGCCCACGAGATGATGAAGGACCGCCTGTCCGAATATATCGCCGAGAATTACTATCAATACGTGGCAGAACACACATCAGCTTTCGTTGACCGGATGCAGCGGTTCCCGGAGCTAGAGGAAGACGTCATTGAGAAAAGGACGAAAACATTGAGGGATCGCCGCGATGAGTCGAATCGAAGCTGATAGAGACTCTACATTGATTGATCCACGTGGGCCGCAAAAGGGAGGGGCCAAAAGTCATATTCATCAGTCTCCGGTGCTCTTCATCTTCATCTTCTATCAAAGTCACTATTCATCTACTACACGACATTATCTTGATTATTTATTCTGCAGCAACATGGTCTACCAAGCTCGAGCAAGGTCTATGTATCCTGGAGGAACACAGAGGGGCTCTGTCGGGTCAACAGGTTGAAAAGGCATATGAGTTTCATCATACATGGCTTGCAAGAACATGGCAGAGGTATTTGTACGTGATAGCTCGGTGGCAGGGCGCGCTCTTTGACCAAAAGAGATGCATATTTCCTTGGTAGCGAGCGAGCGACTATAAGCTGGTGGATAAAGGGTTTGGTGGCGTCCAATCCATTGTGTCCGGGTAGCAAGCGATGCGTTTCGCGTCTCTGTTCGGACACACTCACACCAGTGCTACTTCTAGAGTTTCAGTTTTACAATAATCTGATTTATTTTGCTTCCATTACCACCCTCATCCTACGGGAGCACACCCTCGTCTATCATAACATCGAAACGTAGCAGAGTAAAACACCTCACCCGCGAGTGACCTCTTCGGGCGTTCTTCTGATGAGCGAAACCCAGCTCCACGTCCAGTAATCTGGACGGCCCCGCAGTGTGTACATGCATTGAACTGTGAAACCATACAGTATATAGGAAGTTTAGGTAAAAGAACGAAGTGAGACTTCTCACTGACCGCCGTTTATGGAAAGCAGTCTAAGCGACTGGGGGGAAAGGAAAAGTTTTAGCTCGGTATGTATGTTCGACATTGACGAAAAGATCATTTACCACCACCGCACGTTTCAGAATCTAGGAATCCATCGAACAGACATCGTAGGCGACAGGTAGTCTTCTCATATGTGTTTATTTTGCCATGACGCATCGTAATAGGTCATAGGTAGAAGATTCGAGCGCGGAACTACATCAAGTTAGTGACAGACTAGTCAATGACCATGAATCCTTACTATGTGTCCATTTGAAGTGGTCAAGGCTTGGTGTTGACGCCCCACCCCTTTACATACGACGGGTCTTGTTTGAAAGGGTTCTTGGAATAACCAGGAGGAGGGTTTTCCGGGGGGCTTTCCGGTATATCAGGTTCCTCCTGTTCATAATCGGCGATGAAGTACTCCTTGATATACTTGATTTTGGGACCGTATGCTCCAAGTCGAGTGAGGAGTTTATCGCGAAAGTAAGGGTATTTCTTGAAA